CAGTAAGGGTCCAGGAAGTGGACTTGAACGGGGGAGTTCCCTCTCAGGGTGAACCCCAAATCCCCTTCTTCAGCGATGAAATGGATGCTTCGGGGCGGTGTCCATCTCTTGCTAGCCGAAAACACGGACAGGGGACCCTGTGGAGGAGAGCATTATTAGCGGCAGGATCTGAAGGTGGAAGCAAACCCGTCGCCTGCTGCCCTCGAGGGTTTCAGTCAATCTTGTTCAGAGATTTAACGACAGCATCTGGGTGACCAGGTGCTCCTGCCCCCGTAGAGGAATATTACTGACCATTCTCCCCTTTACCGATGGCTGCAGCATTTAAAAGTTGTCCCTTTAGGTTACGATGAAATAAATCCTTAACCTACCAATTTCTGGAAGAAGTCAGTTACTGTCATCTTGGAGAACTGTGGAGGTATAATTTCAACTTCTTTTTCTGTTTTAGCTAAAAAAAAATATATATAAGTGAAAGAATAAGTATTTCTGTAATTGAAAGTTGTCCTTGAACTCATAGCTACAGTCTTTTCTCAGAAGCGAAAAGCAAGCCATTTTCTCATAGTCACTTGTCCCTCCAATTTTTCTGCAGAAACAGCGCAGATGATAGAACACTGTTTAGTTCCTGATACTGGCGGGAATTTCACCTTTCACAGTGACACATATTATGGGCTTTCCCTTGCTCTGGGGTTGGTACAAAACAAGTAAATTCACTGCCTTTAAGGATCTTATTCCAATAGAATCCCTTTGGCATTCATAAAATTCTCCTGAAAAGTTACTGCATTTCAGAGGTGGCTGCCAGACAGGTCCTCTGCCCTTCAGTGTACAGTCCTGGCTATAATGGGCAGGCCCCCACCTCCTGTTTTCCTTATTGACTGAGGACTTCATGCTGAGAAATGCTTTTGCAAAACTTGTGTCAACCAGCTGCTATGAATGTCTAAGCAGCATATTCATGGCAGGCTCTGGTCTACCTTAGGCCTTAAAGCTAGCTAATTTCTAAAAAGAGGCCCGAGAGCTGGTTAACTGGACATGCACCACAGGCACACACAGACAGTTTGAGGGGAAATAACAGCCACCTCCAAGGTGGAATGCACCCCTCTAACTCACCGGATATGGCTGTGGCTTCCCTCAAACCTCTGACGTAGCTCAGAGCTCAGAGAGGCAAGGGTGGCCCCAGTGTCACAAGAGCCATGTCCTATCCTCAGGGAGGTCTCTTCCCTTTGGCCACAGAACACGCTGGTGCCAAAGCCACGGTACCTGGGCAGGAGAATCCCTAAGCACCATTCCTTCTTGCACCTTCTACCATCTTGCTCACCTGGACAACTGCCTTTGTTAGCAGTGCACCACGCGACGAACTACACCATCAGTGCTCTTTAAACTAAGGGCAACTACCCTGAGCTCCCTAAGTCTTTGTTTCCTCATCTTTAAAATAAGGGTGATACTCATATTACCCTCATCAACATCGGAAGTAAAGTTGAATGAGATTCTATGTCCATGGGACTCTTAGTGTCTTGCCTGGCAGACCCAAATGTTCAACAGATAACAGGTAACACTATTACAGAATGATCCCAGGATTCCAGATTAAGTAGGGCTTTGTCCTTGAGCTGGTTTATAAAAATTGGGGTGTAACCCTAGAGGCTGAGACCAGAAGTGCAGGAAGTGTATGAGAAGAAAGCATGGGGAAGGGTGGTTCCCTCCCCTGGGCTGCCTTCCATTCACTCTCTGGAAAGAACAAGCCATTCTTCAGGGCAATGTCACATCTTAGGGGAGGCCTGTCACTCCTGCCCTCCAGGTCAGAAGTGACCACCTCCTCCCCAACGGCAGCAAAGACCATCTACCTCCTGAATGCTGTCGCTGGGAGATGTCAGAGAATGCTGGTGAGAAGAGATGGAGAAAACAGAAAAGAGCAGGAATGGGAGAGAGAATAACGATGCATTTGCTTTGTTGTTATTTCTGTTATTCACTGGTTTACATTTCAAAATGAGCAATAAGCTATTTACAAATAAGGATATCACCAATGATACATATGAAAATGGCAAACTTATAATTTTGAAATATAAATGAAAAGCAAAGTTTATTAAGGCACATTTGATGTGTGGGTTTGAAACAAACTTTCTGGGGTAACAACAGATTGGTTTTACTCTTATCCCCAAGAATATGTGAGCACTGGATTTGTCAAAGCACTACATGTGGTTTTAAAACTAGAACTACAGAGGTAAAAGCTGTGTGCAGTTTCTCAGAAGACAACTGGCAACGTGGGTGGGAGGTGGAGTCCAGCAAGGACATCCGGTTCACGGGGAAGCTAAGGAGTCTTCTGACTGGAGATGATGACTGAAAACTCACAGGTGGTCAGGGGGCTGTAGGAAAGACAGGCTGGAGCCAGGAGCAGTCAACAAGAACAAAGAGATGGGAATAGAACCATGATGGCGAGGTGAGGGGCAGTGACACGGGAGCTAGGAAGGACAAAGACCATAAAGCAGCCCTGGCTTGGGACTTAGGAGAACATTCCAGAGCAAGAGCAGCACCATGCTCACCGGCTTCTCTAGCCCTGGCAGTGCCCAGCACACAGAGCTTTCCTGCAGGTGAGCACATAGAGGCTGTTTACCCAGAGGACTCCTGACTCTGACACGGGCCCCCAGGCAACCAGCCCGCGTTACTCACAGACAATGTCGGGGGCATCGAGCAGGTTCAGCAGGTCATCTTCGTCCTGGTGCTGGGCGTACTTGAGGCGGGAACGCTGGAGCGCTGCGCACAGCACCTCCTGTAGCACCTCGATGTTGCGGAGCTTCGTGCACAGGCTGGCCTCCCGGACGGACTCCTCGTGCTGCGAGATGGCCCTGTGCAGGTGCGATTTCCCTGCCAAGTGACACAGCTCCTTATTACAAATGGGCGCTTTCCAAGAAGAGCGGCCTGAGAACACAGACATGCTCTTACTGGGCTCGGTCTGGCCTGCCTCTGTCTTTTCTAAATAACTGTGTGATAGACTCAAGGAGGTTTTCATTCATTCAGTCAGTATGTACTAAATATTCTAGGCAGGAGGAAAAAAGCAAAGATCAAAATACAGTCCTTCCACTCTCCACCATCTTGGAACCTGTGGAGGCCTGCTGGGAAAAAGACTTGTAAACCCACAAATCAGGCCAGAGGCTGTTATCCAAGGCTCCTTTTGCTGGATATAAGCGGGGGTCTTCAGAAACAGAGGAAGCACATAGCTCTTCTTAAAATCTAAGGTGTTTCTGTCCAAGCTGAAATGAAATCCTATTTCAGAAAAGATGCGCTTGTGTCTAGAAAGCAAAGGATGCGCTTGTGTCTAGAAAGCAGTAATGCCTGGAAGCAAACCTCCCAAAACCAGGTAACGTAGGGGAACGCTAACTCATGTCCATGCAAACAGTGGCACAATTTGTGCCAAATTCAGAAGCAACCTTCTTGCTAAGGCCATTAGATACAGAATCCAGGAGGAGGATGCTTTGTGGACTTAAACGAAGGTAAAGAAAATGTTGCATTTGGAGGTTTTTCTGTTGTTTTTTAAAGTCCCTGCATGCATGGAGTTTACATGCTAGGGGTCAAGGTGGATAATTAACAAGCTGGGAGTTATGCAATGGACTGGGGGACAAATATCATTTGTAGAAAAAAAAGCAAGCAGAGATGGCAGAGGTGGCAAGAGAAACGGGAGTGGGGAGCCGCTAGTCTCTAGGGAGCAGCCAGGGAAGGCCTTCCAATACAGACAGTAACTTGAGAGCAGAGAGACCTGGGAAGTGAGGAAGCAGCCATGAGGACATCTGGAGAGAGAACAGAAAGTGTAAAGGCCCTGGGGCGTGGAGGGAGGAAGAGGCTGGTGTTTGAGGAGGGGCTGGATGTGGCGACAGGGAGTGAGGGCAGAAGAGAGGAGGGGACAAGGTCTGAGTCACGTCTGACCTCATAAGCATTCAGTGAAGACTTACTGCTACTCTGGATGACAGGAGCCCACTGGGGTTTCAGCAGAGAACTGGTGTGATTTAATCCATGTGAACAGACAGCAAAGCGGCAAAGGGGAAATGGGGAGGGCCAGCGACAAAGCCACTGCAAACAGGAACGTGCATGACCTCTCTGTGCCTAGACTTCCTTAGCTGTAAAATGGGACCATGCTGTACTTAACAGTGGCTGTTGGGAAGATTAAGTCAGGAAGTGTTTGTTAAGAAAGAAGTCCTAGGCCAGGGTGATAGGGTAAGAAGTGGTGAGGTTCAGGATATGTTTTGTAGGTACACCAAGGGGTGTAGGGTAAGAAGGAAAGACAAGGAGGGCGACTCTCCAGTGCTTCCCATGCAAGCTCAGGGAAGGACAGAGTTGTTGGCATGGAGACAGCCTGAATGTTTGAGAAGGTGAGCAGGATTGGGTGTTAGAAGAATTCAAGTTTTGCTAGGGAAAGAAATGTTCACTTTGAGACACGGCAAGGACCAACTAGGATGATTCAAAGACCAACTAATTCTTAGGTGCTCTGGGAGATAAAGTGGTAGATTTAAAAATCAACAACACAAAACCAACCAAACGTGTCCTTCTGATGTTAATTCTCTCGAACGTGAGACACAACAGCACTGGAGGTTGTCCCTGCAGGAAGCATGAGCCCTTACAGAACCCAGAGAACATGAACTCTGAAGTCCTTCTGGCCTCACAGCTAACGAATCCAGTCATTCTGATGACACGGGTCTTCTTCGGGGAGCATGAAGATTTGGATTGTGCACAGGATCACTATGAGTCTCTAGGTACTCAACGGCACATAACAGCCACTCTGCCCCCAACTCCCACACTTACGGTGTTTATCAGAGATGTCAAAAGGCTCTAATTCAGGTTGCAGCAGGACAGCTTCCAAATGTGCTTGCAGTGCCCTCAGCCTTCAAGCCTCACAGCTTTAGGTCCTTGTGACAAAGCCCTCAGTTCTCCCAATTATGGTGTCTCCCTCCCAGTCCTCCAACAAACTCAGGTGAAGGCTCCCAGCTCTGGTGCCGTGAGGCAACAGTCCCAAGGTCAGCTCTGTCATGTCGGGTCTCTGGCTCTCTACTTAGACACCCTAGTCTTTGAAATGACAGCCCGAGCCCAGGTTCCAGTGTAGAAACATACCCAAGTCTATGCGCTGGGCTCTGTTTTTCAGTGTGGCCAATGGCATCAATCCCTCAGGCATGTGGTCATAGAGCTGGGCCAAGCACTTCTCCTGGTGGTCCTCATCTGCGCCAGGCTTCACTGCAACAGAAACCACCAAGTCAGTCTCCACTGGTGAACAAAACTACAGCTCTGAAGATGGTGTCACAGAGTGCCTCTCTGAGAGTCCCCTTCCAACACAACTCTGGGCTCCTTTCTTCTGGTTAAAGGGCCAGTTTTACTAGGCTTTTGGATTAAGAGGTCTACCTTCTACCTCCATAGACTCCCCAGCTAACATAACACATAAAGCCTCCCGCCAGAGGCTTGACTTGGGGATCAGGCACATTCTAGTGGCTAAAGATTTGACTCCGAGTCTCCACACTCCATCTCTTGCATGCCTTCTAGTCATGAAACCTTTCAGCACAGATCTGATCCTGCAGAGGCCTCTGGTGCCTCCACACCTGCAGGCCCTCCCAGCACCAGGCCAGCTTTAACTTTGTCCTCCCGAGCAGGCATCTCAACCATATTCCTTCACTCACTTTCCTCTCTCCTCTGCTGCCCTTTACCATCTTGACCAGTTGGAATCCAATCAGAAGAACAAAGAGCTGCCTCATCTGGAGCTATACAACAACTCCTTACAGAGCTCTGGTGACAGTTTGTAGGAAGTTGTGCTCATGGGCCACATTGTCTGTGGGAGTTCAAACCCACCAGTGGCTCTGAGGGAGAAAAATGGGCAATCTCTTTCCATGGGAGTTACAGCCTCAGAGGCTGAAGGAGGGTCATCCACAAGTCCGTTCTAACTCAAGTTAGAACTGTGGCAGGGAGTGAATGGATGAGTGAGTATGTGATCTTGTCCCCATAACTAACACATCCTGTGGAACTGGAACTGACTCAGAGCTGACCCTCCACGGAGGCTGTAAATCACATGGGAGGAGACTGCCCATCTCTCTCCCTTAGAGCAGTGGGTGGATTTGAGTCACTAGCCTTTGGGTTGACAGGGCAACCCTTCACCCACTAGGCCACCGGGGCTCAGCTACTGAAAATGGAGTATCCAGTAAAGTACAATTCTACTGTGACACACAAAAGTTGCCAACATCTGAAGTGACACAGCAGCAGCCACCGACAATCCCAGCCCGGCTGGTATGGCAGTTCCTAGGGTCAATGTGTAGTCAAACCCACTCTCTCCTTCAGGCTACGAGATTTCCAAGGGAGCCAGCCAAATCACACCGCTGCCCGACCCCAGCCTCGAGTCCCCAGTTCTTACACTTGTGGTCGATGAGGAGGGTGGCGGCGAAGTAATGGGCCAGAGCCCCGTAGTGGTGGGCCTTCACACAGGCCAGTCTGGCCCAGGAGTACGGCACGTTCTCCTTCACCGGGGCCTGGCTCATGGCTGCGTGCAGCTGCTGGTAGACCTCCCTCACCTGCAACAGAGGGGCATGAGGAAGGAGGAGCACAGCCCAGAGGTCTTAGTGCACTTGGGCTTGCAAAACAAGAGCCCCTTCTCCCACGCAGCAGCCCCGGCCCATGGCTGCCCCAGAATCTGGGAGCCGCTCCAAAGACTCCCCATGCTGTCAGAGTTAGCAGGGGGATCAGGCAACCATCATTATGCCAGTGTTTTGGCTAAGCTGAAGACGGAAACCAGTGATCCATATCTGATACACTAGCGCTTGCCAAGAAAGCACAGAGCAGGCACCCCGGCTGGGGCAGGCACGCTGCCCAGGTTATGGGCAGAGCCTGCCATGGGAAGCCCCACTGCGCCCAGTGTGTCTGCAGAAGTGAATTCTGGCTACCTGCACAGAACCTCGGGAACCAGGAAGCACTCACCTTGGCAGCCTCGTGAGCCACCTTCACCAGCATGAAGAACTCATTCTGGATCCCTGGAAGGCAGATTTTCTCAAACATGCTTTCCTGGGCTTGCGCAAGCATCATTTTGACCAGCACGCTGAGCATGGCAGGGCTCATGTCGTAACTTGGAGTATGAGTAAAGGTCTCTTTCAAGTAGTTTAAGACCCCTGAAACGGAACATGTTTTGCATGTTAGTTGGGGAACAGATTTACTTCACCACGTTGCTCAGAAGTACAGAAAATGACAGAAGCAAAAAATATAAAACAGGTATCCTAGAGCGTCCTATAGAAGAATTGCATTTTCATCTGGATCGAGAGGTCAGACAGAAAAAGTTAAATCTTGGAAGAAATTTCTAAGTATGAAGGATCCTATGGATGCTGGGTGGCATGGCACTGTAGATAAGTCAGGAGCTCAGTGAAGCCCCTATCCACAGCCAGCAGAGATTACAGCCCTATGACAATAGTCAGGAAGAGGAGGAGGAAATGGAATATGTGGCTAACTGCACCCTTGTATATGGCCAGAACCGGATGAGGCCTAGCTATCATTTCTGAACATTTTGCTTAAAGGCTCCATAGGACAATCTTGATCAAAAGGGGGGACATGAAGAACAGAATTCTGACTTTCTGAAGCCATGGAGGTTGAATGTACCCCTAAACCTACTATCTTAAGATAATCTTTAAACCTTAAACTTTAAGCCAAAAATAGTAGTCTAGCTAGTAGAGAATGTCTTCTCTGAGCACTAGGTTCTCTTCCCATATACCTACGTGAAATCACACTGGCAAGAGCAGCTTGGATGACCAGATAAGAAACCTGGGAGGCAGGACATTTATGTTAATAGAGAGAAAACAACTTTAAAAAGGGCAATGAAAGAGGCTGCACAGCTTCAAGGAAGCAATCAGTGTCACTGAACTGTACACACAGACACTGGTGACTCAGGCTTACACTCCACTGTTTATAGTCTCAAAAGCAAAAATAAACTCAGAAAGAGAAAGAGGAACCGGGGCCTTCAGTTTTAACAATCTCCAAAAATTTCATTCTGTGAACAATCTGAATGACCCTGGAAGAGGACCCCATGTTTCATAGGATATCAGTCCCGGTCAGTACTACAATCACACCTGTGAGCATCCCTGAGCAAAGAGTCCACCTAAGCTTTGGCAGACACTATAAGATAATGAAAGAATATTCTTTTAGGTCTTTTTAAAAAAATGGATTCTTTTCCAAGATGCCTACATGTCTGTCAGGCAAAGAAACCAGTCTCCTGCATTTCAGCAATCCTACTCCCCTTCCATTCCTGCTTCACCTGGCAGGAATTCTTCCTGGAAACAGGCAGGATGACTGGAGCTCATGCAGTAACATCAGGAATTCAGCCAGAACCTTGGGGCTTTCCCCCCAACACCTCAGGGAAGACTGCTTGAGCCCACTCCAGTGGAGAATGTCACGCATGCCTGTGCGCTCAAGATGACTTTTTATACATTCGAAAATGAACTGTCAGAGCATTACCCGGCAATCAATCTGGAGCTGTAATATAATCTCGGACGTGAATCTCATCCAACTGGTTCCTCTGGTTTTGTGGCAGAGTATAAAATGCCTCCCAGAAGGACCAGGGGCCAGCCTGACTGCTAACGGCTCTCCACAGCAACGAGAACTTATCTCACCACCAAGGTGTCTGTCCCTGTAATCTGGAGACAGGTCACAAGGTTGCCTGCTCTTCCTGCCCTTTACTATGATTTCCTGCCAGAAAGATGTGCTGAGGAAGGCATTTGCAGAGAATAGATTTTTCACGTGGAATCCTGCTCCATCCCAAGGAACAAAACAATTTCATAAAACAAATTTCATGATTAGCCAGGATGGCTGAGCTGCAGTTCTTCACAGACTTGCAGAACAAAGAAAAATACCCTAAAAAGGTTCTCTCCCAGAGGCAACACCCCAAGGAAGAACAGCAAGGACAGGCACCAAGGACACACAGAATCAGGGGATTATGCTGTGGTCTGCACTGTGCCTCTGCTCTTGCTCAGAGTTTCCCTGGGCATTGACCATGCAGAGGGGAGTACAAGAGAATGTTCTAGAACATGTGAGCTTCTCCAAGTGTCTCTGCAGACCTCTCCACCTGTGCTGGCCCTCTCCTGCTCAGGCCTCATTCCAATAGGGTCTGTGGATCCCAGAGAAGATGACAAGAACTTTAAGTGCTTGTGTACACTGCTTGACACAACAGCAGAGAAAGCACGCACAGGCTGACAAACTCAGTGAAATAATGCTAAAGAGATAGACAGATACACACACCATAACTAACAAAAGGGTGAGGAGCCTACGTTTTCACTACTCAGGAACACTTACTCTGTTTTTCATTACACAGTTCATTCACAGCCATTCCTGGGGTCACTCGCTTAGAAAAGATTAACCATTAACCATGAGATTCCCTGGGCACATGGGCCAGACAGAGAGGAGACAGCAGAATCGGGATGGAGTGTTTCTCCTGATGGCAACTGGTCTGGCCCTGCAGGTCTTACATCCAAGCGCGAGTGTGAGGAAGACCCACCCCTCTCCAATGGGCAAGGCCAGACCCCATCAGGAGGCCCTGCAGAGACGCACCTGCAGCTCTCTGAAAGGCGTCCACAGTGCACTCCAGCCCCTCCTGAGTCTGCCGATTGCACCGGGTCCCGATCTGTGTGTAAAGGGCTCCCATGTTAAAGAGAATGCTGGCCTTCTCCAGGAGCAAGTTCTGCTGGCTGACTGGCACCCCAGTGAGGGAGTCATACCTACGGGAAAGAATCATGCTGTCAGGACGGGGATCACCTGCTGATATACACACACCTCACAGCTAAAAAGGGAGCTCTGGTGGTGTGGGCACTAGGCAGCAGCACCGCTAACTCAAAGGGCAAGGTTTTCTGGGGGTTCAAACCCAACAGTGGCTGCAGAGGAGGAAGATGGGCAACTTTCTCTCACATAATTTACAGCATCAAAAACCCACTGGAGAGTGAGCTGAGCTGCTTCTGACCCGACGGCCATGTTGTTGTTGTGTACTCTCAAGCAGAAACTGGCCCATAGCTGATCTTCCAGGGGGTTTTAGAGGCAGGACGAATGCTCATCCTCACTCAGAGCAGCTGCTGGATTCAAACCATGTGCCTTTGGGTTGCCAGCACAATCTCTTGTGATGCCACCAGAGCTCCCTGACAGCAATGAGTACATAAAATAAATACAAACAGCTTCATTGGTTTTGGTTCTCTAGAGAACTCAGCATAAGCGAGATGCCTCTCTGGGCCGCTAGTGTAAATGCAACAACCAGAAAGAGAGAGCTGTGACAGCAGAAGGCAGCCTGTCTGTGGAGGAACACCTGTGGTGTCGAGGAGCTGCCGTTAGGCTGAGGCGGGAAATGCCAGTACCTACCACGTGAACAAGATCCCCATCTGTCTGGTGGGCGGGAAGAATCGACTCTCCATGAAGCCCAGCTGGATAAAGTAACTCATCAGCAGTTCAACACCAGCCTCATCCCGGCTGGGCGTCCGACAGGCCTGAAAAGAGAACCCCAGAGAGGGTCAGCAGATGAGTGGTCATACAACAGTTCTTTCCCATGGGCTCTGGGCATTTTTTTTTGCTGCTCCTGTGGATCTCGAGCCCCCATGCTGGTGTCATGAACTCTAACGAGGAATGAGAAGGGCCTGGGACAGTCAGAAGTCCTGGAATCCGGCTACAGATGCACCAACGGGCAGTCTCTTCCTTTCTGCGGGCCAAATGGATTTGGACAGACCCTCCCGCTCACCTCTGTCACCTGTGATCCAGGAGACCACAGGACCATAGGGATACGAGACGACCAACAAGCAAGTTGGGGCTACCGCTGTCCCACCACCCTGCTGCACACACTTACTTGTCGCAGATCCATAACGTCAGCTATTTCATCTTCATATAAATAGCTATCTTCACTGTAGTGCTCCAGGATAAAATCCTTTCATGAAATATAAGGTAAGATAGTAAAAAAGATGCTCCAAGGCCAAGGTATATAAAACAATAATAATATCCCTTTAAAAATATACACAGTCGTGGCCTAGTGGCAAGGAGCTGCAACTACAATCCCAGAGGCAACGGTTCGAATCCACCAGATGCTCTCCCGGGAAAAAAGGAGGGACAATCTCCTCCTGTACCAGTCAGATCTGATTTGATGGTACACTCACACAAAAATTAAAAAAGAAAAAAAAATTAAAAATATACACAGTCAACAGGAGAAAAAATTATGCAAACTTTTTAATCATAACCAACCACTTAAAGGGAATGTCACACAGCCTAGGGCTTAAGATCACAGTATGGGGACATCAACAGGTACAGCAGTTTATAAAGACAGTGTCCAGCTTTTCATCTTAAAAGCTTGTGATTGGTCATCTAAGGTGCATTCGTGGTGCCAAGGAGTTACAATTGTGGTCACACTCTATCCAGAACAAAGAAGAGTTGAGAAAAACAAAGATTAGTAGAAAGAACTACTACAAAGGACTAGCAGGCCATGCAACCTCAACATGCTTTCCCCTGAGACAAAAGAATGTCCAGCTACCACTGCTAACCACTCTGAAAGAAATCACAATAGAGGATCTGGATAGAATAGGAGAAAAAAGTGGAACAGAAGACAAAATTACAAAAATGGCCAGGCTTGCTGATCTGAGACTACAGCTCTTGTTACTAATTAAGCCTAAAATGAGACTCATCCCTGTGGCTCAACCTTCAACCAAAGAACAGCCAGGCCTGTAAAGTGAAAACCCCCTGGAGGGTCAGCTATGAGTCAGTTCCAACTCGATGGCAGACAATAATATTGGGTGAGTAAAAACACCAGGAAGGTACTCACTCCTTTAGATCAACCAACCACACAAGAACAAAAATGCAGGCTTTGCTCAAAGATAAATGTCAGAAAGCAGGAAAGAGTAAGATAGGATTAATGGAAATGAGAATTATCAGGGAGGGAGCGGAAAGAGTGCAGCACTAATTCAGGGACTGAAGTCAATGTCATGAAATAAAATGTACGTGAATGCTCCAATGAAAAAACAATCTGCTCAGTAAACTTTCACTTCAATCACAACTAAAGAAAATAAAATAGAAAATATCTTTAAGAATAAATGTACATTCCACTATGCAACCTTAATTGTGGACTCTTGTGATAACCATAATACCCTATCATACATCGCTTTTAAATTCTTCAGTCCCGCATCTGTATCAGGGTGGGGGTAAGACTGAGAAAAACTGGATAAATTGTGTATACTGCATGGAAATATTTTATTTTTAAAAATATAAAGTCTATTCTTCAATTTTGCCTTGTAAAATTTTGTTCTAATAAAAAGAAAATCAAAGCTGTTTCTTATTAATAACATTTCTTTGTAGGGCAGAGGAAGGGTGGGCACCACTAAGCGAGCAGAGATTAGTGGCTGGACAGGGAGGTGGTTACCAGCACAGCTTCTTACCACAAGGCCCCCAGAGCTCCCTGACAGGGATGAGTACAGTATAATAGCTTTTGTGCAATGGGGACATGAATGAGATGGGGTGATGAAAGGCATTAATCAATGGTCACAACCTAGGTACAACTATCAAGTATGGAAATACAAAGGAGAAGGAACAGTTGTAAGCAGACCCTAGTGATTGGAACATGGAATGTGAGAGCCAGGAATGAACAAAAATTAGAAATTGTTAAGAAAGAAATGGAACGCATAAATATTGACATATTAGGCATTGGAGAGATGAGATGGACTGGCATGGGGCATTTTGAGTC